CCCCCCCTCTAACGGCCGCGAGCATCGCTCAGTCAACAGACTTCCAAAACAATGCGACCTTCTCAAGGCGCCTATAAATATATATATATATATACTTTCGCTTACGCTTATCAGTACGCGTTCGGAGCCGACGAGCGAGACATGTTATAATTCCCGTTGTTCAAATACTTGATCGGCATCTCGCGTTAATTGCCCCGCGTCTCGCTCGATCGAATCGCGGCGTGTCCACGCGAGTGTCAGTGCGAGGGTGCAAATATCCGGTGCTCCATGAGGAGGCAGCCGCAGCCGGGGGCAGGATGCAGGATGTCTCGGCGAGACAGGACGACTTCGGGATGCCGCCAGCGATACGTCCTGCATTCCCAGGTATGTGAAATTATTCATTGTGCGGCAAGTTTCCGCGTTTAACGGACGCTTGACGATCTTGCCGAGAATGTCCCGGCCGACACTCGTGTCGGCCGTCATTATTTGACAAATTGCTATTCGGCGATTATAACAGCATCATCAATCTCTGATTATTCGTCGATCTGTACGCGATTGTATTTTATAACGACAAGAAACAATGCTTGTAAATTTGACTGAAATCGAGTCGAGTGAATATATGCGTGTCCATGAATACGAATTAATGCGTAATTAATTAATTACGTTCTCCCATACATTGTTTACTAGTAAATGACTTGTGGCTATGAATATCGGCTATGGAATTCATTGCAAATTTACAAGTATTGATTTTTAATGCGTTTAATAATGCCTGTTGAACCGCAAGTTCTGCCTTGTCGACACTTTCTTTTTGCTTCTGTTCGTATCGAATGCAAGCTTAAATCTGTATTGACATGTTATTTGACATACTAACTGTCTTTCTGTTATCTTTGTCTTTACGTTATTTAACTGTCTTCCTGTTATCTTTGTCTTTACGTCTCATATCAGCTTTTGTTAGAATTTCAAATATCATCTGAATTCTAACGTCAAAAAAAGAACAAAATAATTGTGAATAAAGAAGGTGTACTGTTTGATTTACTTCATTGATCCCATATTAAATATGTAATATCTATTTATCTCATATCATGATATAAATTCCAAATATCATATATTCCATATATTATACATATAATCTCATATTGAGACAAATGAATATTAGATATTGAGATAAATAAATATATTAAATATTTAATATGAAAAAAAAGAAAAAAGATCAATGGAGTAAATCAAACAACACACTTTCTTTACTCACAATTTTTGTTGTTTATTTTCGACGAAGAAAATTTTAGTCGATTAATGCTGACCCAAACTGCATAATCTACTAAAAGATGTCTTAAAGACGCCCAAAAGATGTTCTATTTTTTTTTAAAGTCTTTTAAACATCTTTACGACATCTTTTAGTAATTTGTGCTATCTAGGCAATATTATATTATATATATATTTTATTAGCAAATTAAATAATTAATGCTAATTACATTAATGAATGTTGATTAAAATAAAAGATAAAGATTAAATTCATGCAAAACATATTGAAACGATATTGGACATTAAATCATTCTGAAATAAGTCCTTTTCTAAGGATAATTCGACATAAAGACGCCAGCAGCAAATAATAATTCGTGTGCACTGAGAGAAAAAATGTTTAACTATATTCAAAATTATTGTTACATTCGGCGCCATCTGTATCTTTGTTCTTACAATCTAATAGTAGTCTAATAGTAGTAATCTAATAGTAGTAATCTAATAGTATCTTTGTTCTAAAAATCTAATAGTAACAATATACACGTGACATTGTTATCACTAATGTTATAGTAAGATTTACTACAAAAATGATTCTTCTGAATTATTTTATTACGCGATTATGACAATTGCCAAACATTTTTTCTTCTCCGTGTAACGTCTAGCATCATGTCTCGAGATTCTTCATTGATCCTTTAAGTTTGAACAAATTTACGAGAATAACGTAGAAGCGAAACTTCGACTCGAGTACTTCTCGATTGGCGCGATTTTTCGCGAAGAAAACCTATAACACACAGCTGCGCCCCTAGGGAGGATGATCTCTCCACGCAGAAAGGAAACGCGGAACACAATGCGAGAATTAATTAAAATACTTTGTTATTATTCCCACGTGCTGCCGTTGTTATCGTCGTTTTGTTTCGCGCACTTTGCCCTTTTGTTTTTCGCGGGGTAAACTTCCACACACCTATCGTGCAGTCAATCGATCCGTCCGTCTCCGTCCATTTGATTGTGCTCCAGAAGCGCATCGCATTCTCGTTTCTCCCGCTTTCGTTTAACCCGATTCTCTGGGTTTTCCCTCCGTTATTCCGTAAAACTTTACCTCCTCTCTCCCCCTCTCGCAGGACTACTCGATGAGATCGAGCTGGGAAACTTAGCGCTCGATGTTCGTTTTGGTTCGCGCTGCACGAATTCTCGTTACGTTCTCTTCCCTTTTTCCTTCCCCTCTCTCTCTTCTTCTTCTTTTCTCCTCTCCACCTTTCTCGTTTTCTCGTGCACCAACTGGAAATTAGCAATCGTAAGAATCACACTTAATGTACACTGCATTACGACTTTCAATATCCAGCGGAGTAATCGGCGGCCGATTAAACGACTTTATTGGCAACGGGAATTATACAACTCTACGGTTTTCCTCATTCCCGTCTTCAACTTGGTCCGTTTACTTTTCACTTTACGTGCTTCCGACTCGTTCGTCCGCCGAAAGATTTTTCAGCTTCCTTTAAGCTGCAGCTTCTCGGGGTGCCGGAATGTCCGTCGCGGGTCATTCTCGATATCTCTCTCTTTCCTGCGCATAGTGTTATTTTTTCTCTCCCTCCTTCTGTCTCCCTCCCTACCGCGGTCTCATGTGCCACAGTTTATCCGCCGTGAAATCTCCTCTCGGTACGGGCTTCTCTCTCGCTGTATATCTCAGAGGCGAACAAGCGGTTTCTCCACGTCGGAACACGCAACCCCAGCCTCGCCCTTTCTGCGCTCAGCGTGATCTAAACTAATGTCCCCTGAGGCGCATGAAGTTCGTTTCTTCGCTCTCCTCTCTGCCACGATTCCGGACATCAATCCGCGCAGCCGGGTCAAAAATCAAACGCCTTTCATATTTCATCGACCTATTTATATTTCATTGGGACTAACATCGCTACGTCGTCGTCGAAAAGTAGAAGCCTTAATAGTCGAGAGAACACGTCCAAGCACTTCACGACGTATCACTGCCCGGTCGCTCTACCTCGCTAACTTCTTTTCTTTTTTTTCTTTTTTTTTTTAATATTACGGAAAATACGCGGGGCCGGTCCGGGGCAAGGTTTCTTCGTGGACGACGAAGGGCTGCCCGCCCTGGTCTGCTCGAAGCGAGATACGAGCTGCGATATGCGAACCCCCCGATGAACACGCGACCCAGATTTCAACCCTATGGACACAGCAGACAAGTCTGATAGCAAATTACTCGTTCATCTTTTTTCGACAAAAGCGTGGGCAAACGCGTACGGGAGAGCTTAGTCGTAAGAGATTCGTAAGGGATAGACACATCGCGCTGAAAAAATCGTTTTTGCAGTTGGAACCAAAATATTTCGTACACATTATTTAATTGACATCATTATGTTTTTACATGTGTCAAGTACATGTATAATTAAGAAAGTAAAGCGCACGTAGCGGCAGTTAAATGTTTTGATCGCAGTTACCAGACATTTGGTTGATTTCATTTTAGCCGAATTTTCGTCGCGACAATAAAATCCCTTATCTGCACGTTATGGAAAATCGATTTACCGTAGAAAACGATTCTCAGCTTCAGAAGCCCGAAATTCGCGATGTCGAATGACGGTGCGCTCCTTTTTCGTTTGTTCTCAGAGGAGTCGTTACTCGGCTTAATGTATTTGCTACTTGTCCCGCCGTGCATTCGCAGGATCGCGAAGTCAGATAGCGGAGGAGGGAGGGAATGGAGGGAGAGTGAGAGAGAGAGAGAGAGAGAGAGAGAGAGAGAGAGAAAGAGAGAGATGGG